CCTCAGACTAGATCTGTTAATTTTTTTGGGTTATCATCATTCAATGTGTAGAAGTTTTAAAATTTGATCTACAGCAAAAATATATTCTTGCATTGTGACTCAGTTAACTTATTATATATGTGTATGTATGTATGAGAAATTATAAATGTATATTGCATATTTACAAAAGTTTGATGGGACAAAATATGTAATGCACTCTTAATTTCTATTTTATCTTTTTGAAGTGTTGGCTGTAGCCTTCTACATTGGTTTCTTGCCCTACTGATGAGTAGTGGATTAAATTATCATTATCCCTATCATTTATAATATAGTAGCTCTTCAGAAGTATTTGCTATTACTGAATTCCCTTTCCCATGCTTATGAGCATATAAGAAACTTTTTGAAAAATCTCATTTCCTGGCAGATTCTTTAAAAGTATAATGACAAGTTTTGTCTGTTTCTTTAGATAGGTTAGTTGTGGTCTACAGAGCCAGCAGACTGGCATTTTGTACTAGGCTGTTATATAGAGCTCAGTACTTTGTATTTTCTGTCTGTATTAAGAAATGGGATAGTGCCAGACACTTGATAGAGGGCTCTTACTGAGTTCTTCATCAAGTAGCATGATTCTACATTCTGTAATGCACACACTGATATTGATTAGCATTTGAATTATACTGTTTTCTAAAATTAGGTATTAGATTTGAGTTTGGTATATTAACCAAACAAACCCACTAAGCAGTGTTTTGTGGAGAATAAAACTTCTACTTTTGTCATAGATAAGCAGTTGAATTCTGCTTGAGCCACATGCTAGGTAGTGCTTCTAGACCTTCATCAAGTTGCTTAACTCCACTTCAGTAAAAGAATCTTCATTCTTTGTTCATCTCTCCCATTTGTATGCAAAAAACAAAACCTCAGCAAAGTGAGCTCCCTCTTATCCTTTCCTTTGATGATTCTTCACTTGTAGCAGTTTCAAGACTTTCTGTCAGTGATTAGTAGTGGTCCTCTTGAGTCTATTCCATCATTTGTTGCACTGCCAACTCCTAGAACCCGTGTTGAAATGCAAATCACCCCAAATTATTATTATTATTTTTTGCTGGTCCTGGGGCTTGAAGTCAGGGCCTGGGCTTTGTCCTGATCCTCTCTTGTGTTCAAGGATAGCACTGTACCACTTGAGCCACAGCACCACTTCCAGCTTTTTCTGAGTAGTTTGTTGGAGGTAAGAGTCTCACGGACTTCTGCTCAGGCTAGCTTTGAATGGCAATTCTCAGGTCTCAGCCTCCTAAGTAGCTAGGATTATAGTTATGAGCCACCTGTGTCAGGCTGACCCCAAACTGTTTTTTCTTGGTCATTCAGATGTAGACACCTAACAAATCAGTGTCATATTCCTTTAAAATCCATACTGTGGCTAAAAGTGAACCTGTTTTTAGTATGAATATAGAAATATGGATTTGCTGGAGGGAAGACTACTCCCTGATGTCTTTTACCTTTTTGGGTTGTACTCTGGCTCTTACCAGTCTGTACCTTTGTTTTACCAGACATGCATACAAACATTCCTACACACTACCCACCCAAGAAAAGGTATTATCTGTCCATAGGCAAAGAGCTTGTAATTTTCCATGAGACTACGTTCTTGTATCTGTATCTCCTCTTCTACCCCTTAGGAAATGCAGGGCTCTGGTGAAAGAATATACATAAACTTTGTCTTTCATATAATCTTTAAGATGTCCCTCAATGTTTCTTTTTAGTTTGGTGTGGCTGAACCAAGAAAGAAGGCATATGCAGATTTCTACAGAAATTATGATTCCATGAGAGATTTTGAGGAGATGAGGAAGGCTGGTATCTTTCAGAGTGCAAAATGAATTTGGAACGTAAAGGTAATACAGTTACTTGGGTCTCTGTTCTCATTTGTCCTATAAATTTGCATGTCATTATTACACTTTGTTTTCATTATGGAGCTTGAACTCAGGGCCTGGGCACTGTCCCTGAGCTCTTTTGCTCAAGGCTAGCACTCTACCATTGTGAGCCACAGCTCCACTTCTGGTTTATGAGTGGTTAGTTGGAGATGAGTCTTATAGGGACTCATCTGCCCCAGCTGGCTTCAAACCACAACCCTCAGATCTCAGCCTCCTGAGTAGCTAGGATTACATTTTCTTTACTGAAGTTTTGTACCAAGTTTTTTTCTTTTCTGCCAAAAAATGATGTGGGAAATTTTTCTGTGTTTGTGTGCTGGTACTGGATCTTTTCAGGGCCTTGCACTACTCTTACTTGGCTTTTTCTCTTACTGCTGGCTTTCTACCTCCTGAGCCATATCTAGTCATATTTTTGCAGGTTACAGACATTTGTCTGGGCTGGCTTTGATTTCAGCTTCTAGAGTAGATAGGATTACAGGCATGAGCCATTAGAATATTAACTATTGCAGTAAATGAACATTTCTGAAATGTCTTTTATTTGTATCATTCATTTCTCTGTGGTATTTTGTAGTTTTCCATGTATTTGTTCATATTCTTTCATTCCTAATGTTTTGTTCTTTTTGAAATGTCATGGGACTTGAACATCGGGCCTGGGTGCTGTCTCTGAGCTCTTTAGCTCAAGGTTAGTGCTCTACCACTTGAGCCACAGCGCCACTTCCAGTTTTCTGATGGTTAATTGGAGATAAGAGTCTTACAGACTGTCCCTGCTTGGGCAGGCTTTGAACTGCAATCCTCAGATCTCAAGTCTCCTGAGTAGCTAGGATTATAGGCGTTAGAAACTGATTTCGTTGTGTTCATTTTGGCTTCTGCAACTTTGCTTTCATTTCTTTCTATGCTTTTTTTTCCTATCCCTTCTCATTTTCTGTACATTTTTGTATATGGAATTGTTAGTGTTGTTTCTTTTTCCTCTTTGGATTCCTTTTGTTTTTTTCATACTGTATTGATTAGAAGGTGGCCAGGAACAAGCACATTTGCCTTGTTTCTAATTCTAATTACAGGAAAAGCTTTCAAGTCATCTTCCTTTTGGTTTGACATAATTTATGAGTTCATCATGTTTTATATTTATTTTTTAGTACCAGTACTAAGGCTTGAGGTCAGGGCCTGTCTCTTGGCTTGTTTGCTTTTGGCTAGTGCTGTACCACTTGAGCCACAGTTCCACTTTGGGCTTTTTGATGGTTAATTGGAGATAATTGTCTCAGACTTTCTTGTCCTGATTTGCATGGAACTGTGATCCTCAGATCTCAGCCTCCTGAGTAGCTATTATAAGTACATTGCACTTCAGTATCTAATTGTTTTTATTATGAAAAGGTGTTTTGTCAAGATGTCTTCTCTGTATGTTTATGTGGTTTCTGTTACTGTGATGCATCATATTTTAATAGTGTGTGTTGAACCATCCTGCATTCTAGGAATTAGTTTCTTGGCCCTCAATTATAATCCTTATAATATGCTATTAAATTTGGTTGGCTAGGAATCTTTACTCTCATTTTTTACATGGTGAAAGTGTCTCTGCTCCTCTTCCCCCCTTTCTCCTTTATGAGTAAGGAGGAAAAAGGTAGTGTATTAGGAGCTTGAAAAGAAGCTTGGAAAATGAGTCTCCAGATCATACAGCCTGAACTGGGCTTCCTGCTGGGTGAAAGTGAGTAGTCAGTGTAGGGTTCACTAATAGGAATATATGCCAACCTCATTTTTGTCATTAACTTAGCCCTTGTGTTTCTCTTCACAGAATTTCTTTGGATTGACCTGTGTTCCTGAACTATGAAACATAAATATGTGGGCTGATAGTTTCTCTTATAAATAAACAAATACTGTGGACCGAAGTCTGTTCAGTTATTCATATTGATAATTCAGGGCATTAAAAAGCATCATACTTGGTTGGAAATTTTTAAGTTACTTATAAACATTGTAAAGATAAATTATCTCAGTATTTTTTCTTTAATATTTAGTTGCTCTGATTTTTTTTTTCCTATTGTACTAAAGATAATTCTGGCTGCCATTGCTCCGGCTTTGAAGGAGTGTCTGGGAGTCCAAATGAGGTGTCTCTGTACTGTGGGCTTTCAGAAGGGTTAGACAGTGAGTCCAATAAAAATCTGTCCTTGGGGCCTCATTTTCATGATGGGATAGCCTTGCTGTCACCAAAGATAATTAAAATGCAATTACTGAGGAGTACTTAGAATTTGCTTTGCTAAAGAGTAGTTTGTAGAGTTGGAATATGTAATTTAGAAAAACAAGTGCTGGAATTGAGTAATATTTGCTGATGATTCAGCAGTGTGGTAGCTTTTTTGGAATATATTATTGCTGATATTACAGCAAGTATCAAAAGTTAGGTTTATTAACACTGGTTTTAATCACAGTCCCTTAATAAACTGTATTTTACTCTTTTTAACTCATAGGTAAGATACTTGAATCCTGGTGATAGGAACTGACTCAGTGAAAAACTTCAATGTAAAAAGCTCCTTTGGTGATGTGACCTTTAATACACTATCAGTGAAAGACACAATATAAAAAGTCCATTTAGCTGGGTGCTGGTGGCTCACACTTGTAATCCTAGCTACTCAGGAAGCAGATTTGAAGATTGTGGTTCAGAGCTAGCCCAGGCAGAAAGTATGAGACTCATCTCCAGTTAACCATCATAAAACCAGAAGTGACACTGTGGCTCAAAGTGGTAGAGTGCTAGCCTTGAGCAAAAGAGCTCAGGGACCATGCCCAGGCCCTCAGTTAAAGCCCATGACCGCCCCCAACCCCCAAATAAAAAGTCCATTTAACAGAAGATGTTTACATAGTAATCCAGGACATTTTATTTTAAATAATTTTATAATACTTGAGAGTATGCAAAATACATAAAACGTACACATACAAGAGTTAGTACATATTCACATCCTTAAAAATATACTTGAGGTTGACCAAAAGTCACTTTCCTAAATCAAAGGCATTTTTCATATTCAGCTTGAATGTCCGTTAGCCTGTTTTTCCACTAACCACGTTATAATATAATGGTGATATGCCAATAACCTCTGAGTTAAATCAGAGAGCTTTTATAATAGCATTTTTACCCTGACAATTGATAGCAAAAAGTTGTAGGGCCAAATATGAATGCAGTCAGTGGGCATGTTTAAATTAATTGGACCATGAGATATTTACCAAGCATTTTAAGATCCATTGACCTCAGATTTTTGAGTTAAACCCATTTGTAGATGCCAAATAATATTTGCCAGACATGTTCATTGCTTTGTCAAGTCAGTTTGTCCAAGAAAACTATCTGAACTGATATTATCATTGGGGTTTTTAATTCCTGAGATTACCTGAGCACTTCATGTCTTTTCATAGAAAAAAAATGTACTATTTAGCTTGTCTACTAAGACTTTATAAAATTACCTGGACAGTTAAGAGTTAAGTTCAGTAAAATGCAGACATTGAAGGCAATATACAAGGCAGCTATCACTCAAAGAACTGCATTGCAAATTTCGACAAATCCAAGAAGTTGAACTAAGTCCTAAGCATTTCATTTCCAGAATCTGAACCTTGGCAGATGCAGGATAAGTAGTGATATCATCCCTGTTCCAGAACAGATGCATTCTAAATCTGAATCACATTTTGCTGTAGAGCTGAACAATAATAGATCCACATATTGGAAGTTTGCAAGTGGCACTCTGGAGCAAAAAAAAGGAATGTTTTCTATGTGCAGTAGAAATAGAACATGTTTAGGATTTTGTTGAAAAATGGATTTTTAAAAATCCATCTTGTTTTAGGGAGAAAATTTCAGAAATGTCTAGAAAATTGGTATACTTGTAACTAGAAAAATGTTGGCCCCATGTCCATGTTGAATTGCAACTAGCTCTGGGGTTCTTGTCTAAAAAAGCAGTAAGTAACTCCTTATACCAGATTTAGGGGAATCCTTTCCTCAGGGCTTTATTTTTCACCATGGTAAATTTACTAATAAAGACCTGAGCAAAATGTGGGTCAGCCAGATAGTTGTATGTTTTAACAGTGGATGGGGGTGGTTCCACAGCGGTTACAGGGCATGGTACTTGAATGGAAGAGCAGCTGGGGGCCATGTGACAAGATGTCTTTGCAATGTAGTCCACAAGTCTGTTGTACTGTTGTTCTGACAGTCTCTCTCGAACTCCATCCACCTAGGATCCAAAAATGATGACTCATTAGTTGCCAAACCTCTTATAAGGAGTCTTCTGTAACAAACTGACTTCTTTTCCTTCATACATTTGTACATTATACTTGATAACTGGTAAGTCATTTTGTCTAAAACCTTGTTACACCTTTTATTTTCCCTCTGATACATGGCAGTGACAACAGTAGTTTCAGGCCAAAAAGAGCTTTGCATGAAAATAACAGGTATAAGGACCCCACCAGTGTAACATAAAATTCCCATCTTGAAAGATGATTTGATAACATTTTACTATATTAAAATTTTTACTCTATTAAAACATCTCTATTTACCAAGAAGCCAAGGAACAAAAAATAAAGATGTCTTTTCCTGAGCTCAAATCTTAGCTAACGTTAAACTCAGCATGGTAAAAATAAAAGCTGTTGGCCTGGCTCCCCAAACCACTTTGGATAGAACTTCACTTTGACAGAAAGTGGAGAAGAGCACCTCATTCGAACCGGTGGCTCTGGGTAGAGCAGTAAAAACTATTAAAGTGTAACTTTTTCTGTCAAGATTTAAAGCCAGAGAAAATAGAAAAAGTGGGCAAAGGAAGGGGAAATTTTTATAGAAAAAAGGGAGGATGCAGAATACATTTATGGTTCATAAAAGTCTGGCTCATCTTCAGTGGAACTCAAATGAGCTGAGATATACTACCTAGGTTCTTAAGTGAGATTTTCTGAGAAAGCACCATCAAAGGCAGTTGGAGCTATAAATTCTTCCCACTCTGAAGTCCTGTAAGCTATCTAGGGTGTAGATCAAGCAGAGAGGGCATTTTTCAGTGCAAGCTCCAGGTCTGAGAATTAAGTAGCCACTGACCCTGCAGTAGTTTTTACCTACTGAGTATCTCTCAAAGGATTATAAACATTTTAATAACAGATTTTTAAGTTCTGAAGTAGTGGAATTGTAAAGAGTTACTTTATAATGTTGTATAGAGTCCAGAAACAGTGTAGTCAAGTGTCTTAAAAAGCTGAAAAAAGCCAGTGAGATAGTATAGAGATACCAAAGGGGCCTGTCTGGAGTAGGACATCCATTAAGAGTTCAGGTCTCATACTTTTGAGCTTGGGAAACAAAGGCCCCCAAGATTCACTGACAGTTGAAAGCTGTTCACTACCAGGCCAACACCAGAGCTCTGATGATATCATCTGATGGGGCCAGGATTCAGCTGGAAAGCTTTGAATACACAAAAAGGTTTAATTGCTCCTCCTGAACAGCAGCGCAGGAAACCCATGTTGTGAAAGGAGCCTGGCCAAGGAATAAATTGACCTTCTGACTCATTTTGAGCCTCTCAAAAGGGATTTCAGTAATGTGCCAGGCATATTAAGCAATTACCCCTTAAATGGCTGCATTTAACCAAGAAAAGCAAATGCTAATTTAAAAAAATTTGAAACCTGCCATATTTGAATATACTGGGTGATGTCATCTACAAATTAATTCCTTCCAAAATTCAAAGGAGCTGTGTTTCCTAGCCCTGGAGGCAAAAGCAATAAACCTGAAAGGCCATTTCATATAAAGAGCTTAAAATGCTGCTCTTGGTTCTCATTAGAAGGTAGGCTTCCTAACCAAGCTTTGTCTCTGGGCTGTTTGAGAAAGCAGAATGTGGAGGAACTGCATATCTGCCACTGCCAAGTGCAGGTGTGTGGAATTAGGTGCTGCTTGTTAATGGTTGTCTTGCAGTATTACTCTTAATGTTTCCTGCCTCTGTTACAGCCATTCTTTAATCTCAACCTCCTTTCACCTCTGGATATCAGGGAAGACCAGTACTAAATTGTCCAGAGCTCTGGTGCTTCTCATAACCTGGTGATTTCATGGTCTGAGCCTTGATAACTAAGGATGCTGACTCCCACTACCATCTCAACAGCCTCTGGAGAAACAGCTTTCTTCCCCTCCAACTATGGTAACCCTCTGCACACTCTTCTCAAATGCAAGATAGGAGAACCAAGATTGAAGACAGTGTAACAGAAAAAGATCAATCTTCGCTTAGAACAGTTTAAGATCTAAAGCATTTCCCAAGCCAGAAAAAGAAAAATGACAGTGGCTGATATTCTTAGGGTCTTCTTGTTAGGGACTAAGGACTAAGATAATGCTACTATCCTCTGCCAAGTCTTGTAGCTAGATCACTGCTGCTTTATTGTCAACTGGATCAGAAGATTTTTGGCAGATCTAACAAAGCCTGGACATCTGACCTCTGTTTATTCCCAGAAAGTCATCAACTCAAAGCAGCAGTGTAGTCCTGGTGCCAAGCCTCAGCATAAAGCTTGACTGATTGTGATCCAAAAAACTAAAGAAATCTTAAGAGTTGTTGTGGTTGGCTGTTTTCCATCTGCTCTCATAAGTGTACCCAAACATTGGTGTGAGGGAGAAATAGGCTCTCATATCAAGAAGAAAATGAGGAAGGAAGGAATCAGGAAGGACCTGCTGGGGACAGGCTTGTGTCCTTTTCTAAGATCACTTAATCTTCAGTAGGCTCTAGCTTGCTACTAATTACCTTTGTCTTGCAATATGGAAAAAAGAGGTACATTCCATAGGTGAACAATCAGGGTCCGTGGAATGGCGGTCACTTGGGAGGTAGAGGCAGAGTACCTTTTCCCATTGGTTGTACCTGCTTACTCTAGGCTAGACTGCAGGCAGCTGAGGCCATTCTGATCAGGGTTCATGTCTGACCCTTGACATTCCCCATGCTCCACCTGAGCATACATTCCACTTGGATTGTTTCCAGGAGCCTAAGCTGTCTCCAGGAGGTACCAGACAGGAAATTACCCCCATGGAACAGGGAAAACAGTGCCACAGGATACAAAGTTGTGGGTAGGAGAGAAACCTATTCACAAACTTATTACTCCCCAATTCTTGTGTTGGGCATAGAGGTGAGCAGAGGGAGGATGTTAAACTCCCTGGTTTGTCAGCTTGCAAAGGTCTTGCCTTCTGCTCTGATCTTGTTTGGTTTTGTCAGTACACCCATTCTTCTGAAGCAGTTTTCTGTACCCGCAGCCTCTCCCAGGTGGCATGGGGGCCAGGGAGCCTCCTTTGTGAGGTAACTGTCAAGAACTGCTGTCACGCACCTCACCCTCACTGTTTTGAAACTCCACTGTACTGTCTCTGGCACCCCCAACACCGTAACAGAGCCTTGTTTGAATCACAGGACAGGTGACCCTCAGGCTGGTGGTCCTGACTACCTACTGGGCTTTCTGCACGTTTCACTTGCACAGCTTGGTGGGGTCTTCCCAGTCCCTCTGTACATTCACCCCACCTCCTCCACAATTTTCCTGTGCAGCAGCTCCCTTGGTCTCCAGCAGCCACTCCTGAGACCCATAAATGCCTGCCTGGGTAGGCAGCTTGCCCTAATCACCCTGTTTTCTGGACTGTACCTCCATATCACAGGCCACTCTTGTTTGCTTGAGTTGCACGGTGAGGATGTTGCTTTGCTTGCTGTCCTGTGCACAGTCTATCTCGGTGACGGGAAAGGCCTGCTGCTGTGTGTCCTCGCTGATGCTCACCACAAAGAGCACTTCTGTTGTCAGCAGCAAGCACCCTTCATGCTCCTGGCCGGAGCCCCTCACCAGAACAACATCCAGGGCCATGTGGAGTTCTGGTCTGCCCAGAGACTGAAGCATTTTCCTGTTTAAAAGAAGGTAAGTGAGGCCAAGAGCTAGCTATGAAGACAGCCACTTAACTTGGGTACACTGATTATTGTAAGTAATCCCGTTATTTTACCTATAAATTCGAATTACTAGTTCTCATTGTGGTGAACAGAACCTGGTAAAGATATCTTTGAATCTATTTAGCTCTTTAAGTATTTTTCTCATTTAAAATGATAACCCTGATTAGAGCTCCAGTTCCCACAGGGAATCTGAGACCCTTCTGCAGGCCCAGGGTTCTCGACCCATGTACCAACCCTCCTTGAGGGGTCAGTGTTGAGAAGAGATTTATTTATTTATTTATTTATTTAGTGGACATGGAGTCTCCCTGTGTAGCTCAGGCTGGATTTGAATTTGCAATCCTTCTGCTTCAGTCTTCTGAGTGTAGGGATTACAGGTGTGAGCCATCACACCCAAGCTGTAAAGAGTTCTAAAGCCTTAAACCTGTGAGTTAGCAGCCTTTCCTTAGTCTTCTAGTGCATTCTAGCACATTAACTTCTCCTCTTGTGCTCCCCAGAAAACATGGACTGTTAGCCTGAGAACAAGCCAGGAGCTATCACATACAAGTAAAGGAAGTGTCTTAGTAATTTTACCAGACGTATTTGACGTGGCTGTTTGGAGCTTTGTCAGCATGCAGGTCACTTGGCTGATAGCGCTGTTTGGGAAGTTGAGAAAGTCCAGCTCCATGTAAAATACCTGTGGGGTAAGAGAAGTAAAGGAGCTTTACTAGTTTTCTGGGAAACAGTTTCAAGCTACAGTGATGTCACCTGCTTAGAGCCATCCATAAAATGTTACAGAGGCCAAAAATGATCTCCTGGATGCGAATGCAGAGACAGTCATTACACATTACACCGCCATGAACTCCAGTGATCTTATGTTAGCTACAAACTAAAATAGGAATATGCTCCAGTCCAAAAACACAAGCATTTGGAGGAAGCACAATGCTCCTGAGAGCAACTGGTGATGAACAATAGCTCACACATCATTTACAATTATGTGTTAAAAAGTCAAGATTAATAGTCAACTTCCCTGCTTACTTAATACTGTGTCACTACTTTTGTATCTATGCTATGGCTGGCCAAATAAAAAAAAACACAGATATACATATATAGAGACACATGGTTTGCCTAGATACAATATTTAAATGGTAAGTGCCTTAATCCAGCTGTTAAATGCAATTCCATATACATTTATGAGTGCTTTTGGGGCTCTGGTTTATTGCATGCTCTCCCGGGTGCCAGCACCAAATGAGGGCACCCAGCAGCAGCCACACAGGCCTCCAAAGAGCCTCTCTAGAACCAAAGATGGTACAGCATGTATGCTTTCTGAGGGCTTGTAAATGTTTATAAATGAGGCAGAGTCATTAGACTAAGAGTTAGTGGTTTGTAAAACCTTCAGTGTGGTAATAAAAGTTTTACAAGAGTGATGGAAACCAAAAAGGCCATGTGAAGCCCGGCTCTGAGCTGCTCTTACATAAGGCAGAGTCCTCAGCTCTGGGAAACACACTATTAGGGACAATGGCATTTTCAAACCATTTGTGAAATATGAGTTCTTTTTACCTCACTGGAGTCTGTAGCAAAAGGAATAGTGTTTTTATTCACAGGGAAGGCCTAAGCAGTTGATGGGGGTGAGTTACATTTTTTAAATCTTTAAGTTGTAGCTTTTCCCGTGAGGGAACGTGTCATCCACGGCAGAGAGGAAAGTAGAGAGGGAGCGGGAGGGAGGTGCATCACTCTGCCTGTGTGGTCTCTCCCAGGACGCTCTGGATGACTGCCTGGAGTGTGCACCGTCTTCTACTCCATCCTGTTCAGACTGTCTTGATGCCCTGGTCTGGCTCCATCCTGTCAGAGCTCCTGAGCTAGAGGATGCGTGCAGTGAAATGTAAGCTGCAGATGATCTGGCCAGATGCAGACAATGCTCAGTGAGTCCTCCTGGGGTTTGAGATGCCAGCTAGTGGCCTGCCTCCTGGCCAACGTGAATGAAAGCATAGGAAGAGATGCTTCCATTCATACCACTTGTACATGTGTGCAGGGAAGGCCTGCCATGAGTGCCAGGTCTCTTCAGGACTGCTTAGGGAAGGGGCTTTTCTTGCAGACCATTTGCCTTTGCTTCCATTGCCTAAGAGACTGCCTGCCTGCGGGGGAGCAGAACAGCATCTACAGGTGAAAAAGGAACCACAACCTTGAAGAGCTATGTGCACCTGCATTCCCCCACACAAAACCATCACGTACAGCCTTCTTCCTGTCTTGTTTCCAAATTGGGAAAAGGTAATCATTCTTTTTTCTGTTGCTCTCAACATCTAACTGATTACTTTTTATTAAATGCTGTGACGTATATTCTCAGAAATATTCTGTATTAATATTAGTATGAAATTACTGAGATCAGTAATTTCCTGATTCTACAATTAAAGTGTCATTCTTTGTATAAATAGATAAGCACAGGGAGACAATACTGCTCTTCATCATTTTCTCTTCACCCTTCCCTGGCTCACTGCAGGGAGCTCTGGGGAGCTCCACTCACTTACCATAGCCAGTCTGTGAAACAAGCTCGGCAGCTCCCCCGATGGGTTTTGTGAACACTCCCATTATTCCTTTCCCCACACCTGAGATGACACCCTTGGCCTTGTGTCCTGCTGAAGCCTGGGCCTCTGATGTTTTCTGGAAGTTCTGCATTGGCTGATCAACTATACCAGCAATTGCACCTGAAAGAGCAAAAAACTTCAGTAAGGACAGAAACTTAAAATCATCAGAAAATAAAAACTTCAATACGAATGCAGTTTTGAAAATGAATCCCTAGCCACGTGTAGTGTTATACATCTGCAATCCCAGTACTTGGGAGGTTGCCCAAGTAGAAGGATTGCAAGTTTGAGTTCAGCCTGGTAAGACTCTGCCTCTAAAATTTTAATTTAAAACAACAGCAAACAGCTGGTTGCTGGTGGTTCCTAGCTGTAATACTAGCAACTCAGTAGGTTGAGTTCTGGAAGATCAAGGTTTGAAGCAAGCCCAGGGAAACATCCAGATAATTCTCTTCAAAATAACTAGCAAAAAGCTGGGTTGGAGGCATGGCTCAAATGGCAGAGTATCAGCTATGAGCAAGAAAGTGAGCACCAGGCCCTGAATTCAAGCCAAGAAACAAATAAAACTGCCAAAAACAAATAAAACGACAACAAAGAAATCCCTCTTCCAAAACAAAATAAACAACGACAAAAAAGAATCTCTGGCCTCATTATCCATTTATAAGTACCTTTAGGGCTGTTTAGGTTAGATACTCTTCATCAAAAAAAGTTAGACACAGTCTAGGATTCAATAAACTTATCAGACTGTTCTGAAGTAACACCCATGTGCCTTTCCTCAGATATAAGGAAACAGTTCAGGGAGAAGACAAGACTTAACTCAAGAGGAGAGTGTGCCTGCACAAGCTAATAAAAACTTGCCCAACCAGGTGTGAGAAAACCTCAAGGGAGAGCCATCTGTCCCTGCTTTTAATAATTATTTAATAATTGAGTATTGTCAATATATTAATAATTACCTAATAAGAATAATCATACAGTTATTATTTCAAATAGTTAATCTACCTTTCATGCTTCTAGATGCTAGGGACTGTGTGAAGCACTTTATCTATAGGAGATCATTTAGCCTCATATTTTGTGAGTTGGACACCGTCTTTTTATTATTTTCCAGAAGAGGACACTGAAGTGCAGAGAGGTTAAGGACTTTCCCCAAGGTTACACAGCTATTAAGTGGCTGGACCTAACTTTGAGCCCAAGGAGACTGGGTGACAGTTGAGATCTTAGCTACCAACTAATTCACTTATCCTGTTTCTAAAGCAGATTCTTTTATTTGCCAATTTAGAAAAACTCTTCTTTTTCACTTCAACTGAGGCCTGGCTAATTAGTCTTCAATGTAGTCTAGCCAACCAAATCCTGCTTCATGAACTCGCTTGGCACAGCTTACCCCAAGGCCACCACACTGGAGCTTGAGGCCGGCCATGAACAGAAGGTGTCATGGCCACTACTAGATTCATTCTCCTTGCTCCTTTTTTTTTTTTTTCTTTTTTTTTTTGTCGGTCATGGGGCTTGAACTCTGGGCCTGGGCGCTGTCCCTCAGCTCTTCAGCTCAAGGCGAGCGCTCTACCACTTGAGCTACAGCGCCACTTCCGGTTTTCTGGTGGTTTATTGGAGATAGGAGTCTCACGGTCTCTCCTGCCCGGGCTGGCTTTGAACCGTGATCCTCAGATCTCAGCCTCCTGAGTAGCTAGGATTACAGGCGTGAGCCACCAGCGCCCGGCTAAAATTCTTCTTCTTTTTTTTTTTTTTTTGTCAGTCGTGGGGCTTGAACTCTGGGCTTGGGCGCTGTCCCTGCGCTCTTCAGCTCAAGGAGAGCGTTCTATGGCTTGGGCCACAGTGCCACTTCTCCTTGCTCCTTTTAATTCCACAGCCAAGGGTGAGATCTAGCGAAGTCTTGCCAGTCCTGACTTTTCTTTTCTTTTTGTCAGTTGTGGGGCTGGGCGCTGTCCCTGAACATTTCAGCTCAAAGCGAGTGTTCTACCACTTGAGGCACAGTGCCACTTCTGGTTTTCTGGTGGTTTATTGGAGATAAGAGTCTCATGGACTTTCCTTGCCCAGGCTGGCTTTGAACCATAAGCCTCAGATCTCAGCCTCCTGAGTAGCTAGGATTACAGGCGTGAGCCACTGGCACCTGGCTCTGACTTTTTATATGATGTTGTGGCAGCTTCCTTAAAGTAGAAGTAAAACTTTCTTTATACTTCTGGACAGAATTACAGCTTTAAACTCAAATCTGGTAAGATTAATGAAAATGCAGTCCCCCTGGTAGAAATTATAGAACACGTCAAATCCCATTATTCTACTTGCCACTAATTCAAAGTCCCTTTGGGTAAATAGATTTGCAGGAGTCAGTTAATGACCTGCTAATTTTTAGCAACATTCTGAAATTGAGCAAAATCCAGTAAAACAAAAGGCTACTTCCTTCATGGATTCCAGTCAACTGGGTTTGACAGAGTCATTTAAATTTATAAATCAATAGATTAAGAAATATCGAAGGTGACAGGTCTGCTTCCCAGGCTAGAGTAATGCCATCCAAACCTTGCAAAGAAATGACAGGGGTGAGGGGAGGGAGCTGTTCCTTGCTGGCTCAGGCGGCTCTGGCTTGGGGGCTGTGGGTCACTATTTTATCCAGGAACCAGTGTTTCCCTTGGCTACAGCTCTCCTCACTTTGTCAGAGACCTAGCAGGCCTGTCAGAGGCCTGACACGCTCTCCGCCTATAAGACTAGGGAGCCACATGGTGGGAGGAGGAGGCCCAGCAGTGCAATGGAGACGCAGGACTCCAGCCTTCTCTTCCAGCTATTTCATAACAGATAGCTCAAAGGGAAAAATACCAAGAACACAGCTTAGTGCTTGCATTATCTGACTCTCTGAAGGCTTCCATGCTTTAGAGTACAAAAATAAGTAAATGATTACAAATACAACAACCGACTAAATTACTGCCAGAGTTTCTGGTAGAAATGTTTTCTCTCAAGTGTGGCTTTCATTAAAGCTATTAAAACTGAGATGGAGGCAGGTGGCTGCCTCATTTAGAATCTTCTCCTACTTCCCTTTCATGTGCCAGCCCTGATCTGAGCAAGGAGCGTGGAGCCCTGAGCAGCTGTGACATCCACACAGGGTGCTAACTTTGGTCTGCTTAAGTGCAAACAGGTATCACAGTGAAATTCCCCTTTGATCTTCCACTTTCCCCAGCCACTGGCCACACAAAGGCTCCAGTTACTAAGGCTTTGATAGATAAACTCTTGGGGCAGCCAGAAAAGTGGGAAGCCCGAGTCCTATGACAAGGTGTTAGATTCCATGAGCTGGAGAAGAAACTGTCAGGTCACATGGCTTCAGCTCAGCCCCAGACTGTGCAAAGGGGAAAAGCAGCAGCTTCTCACTGGGAACCAGGTGTCACTAGCTCCCTTTGTGCTAACAAGCTGGAGAACAGAGGGGCCAAGATTATCTAAAAGTTATTCCCTGGTCTTTGCAAGACTGCCTGGAGGGAGACAGCTCCTCGGAGGGCCTTTCGAAGGCCTCTTCCTGAGGATAATCCAGCTAAGTCCACAACGGGTAAATTATTTACTGTCATACTCAAACTCTGCTCTAAGGCTTTAAGTGGTGGAAGCTGATCCCAAGACTTGTCTGTTGGCGATGGGCCCATGGGGTGGGCGGCCACATGGAAAGGGCTGTGATGTGATGAAGCAAGGCATGGAGGGAAGAGCGCGCTGGGATGGGGAGGGGTTCTGGTGGACTCCAGACTCCAAGTGCTGAGCTGAGCTGTGGAGCCACCTTTTCTTCACCCTCAGCGCTAGGATGAGGCCTTTCTCACAGAAGCAAGGAACTGTAGTGGTTCCCTTTACTGCTCCTATGACTTGTTCCCAGCACAAGGCAGGAATGCTTGGTTACTGATCTATTTTGATGCTGCTGATCAAATGGTGTGTGGTTTCATTTCATGCCGTGAGTGTGTGCGTGCGTGTGTGTGTGTGTGTGCATGCGTGTGTGTGTGTGTGTGTGTGTGTGTCTGTCTGTCTGTCTGTCTGTCTGTCCTGGGGGCTTGAACTCAGGGCGTGGGCTCTGTCCCTGAGCTTCTTCTTTGCTCAAGGCTAATGCTCCACCACTTGAGCCATAACTGCACTTCCAGATTATTTTTTTGTAGTTTAGTGTAGCTGGGATTTACAGGTATGAGCTACTGGTGCTTAGCTGTGGGTCTTTTTTTTTTTTTTTTTGGTTACAATAGGAGAGGAAGAGGTGCAGGCTGGGATTCTAAGTTGCAGGTCACCACTGCAGACAATGAAACCACACAGCAGACATTCCAACTCAAAGCCAACTTTTTTGGTCAGAAGAGATGAGCAAACTGAAAAGGAGACACTTAATGCAAACCCAATTGCTGATGGCAGACTCTGGTGTCAGCTGTCTCAAGTGTTATTTCTTGATATGCATAGCAGCTCCATCTCTCACTGGAGGGGAACACCCAATCTACCTATCACAGGCCTGTCTTGTTGAATTCTGAAAGATACCCAGAGAGTGAGCAGGAAATAGAGATATGAGGCCTATGGAAATCCGGGTAGGACCCGGAGTGGGTGCTCTCCAGTTGTCCAGGCTCCAGGGAAGAGAAGCAAGTGTGACTATTTCAGGAAGTGGATTTGGTAAATGTGGGCAAAGTTAACGACAATTTTGCAGGCCAAATGGTTTTCCCCCATCTTTTACTTTGGAAACTGTTATAGAGCTCATCCCAATGCCCTGGTAGCCTCTCCCAGCTGGCAAAGCTTTACCCTTGCTGACCTGGGACAGTGTGGTTGAGTTTTAGGTGCTTCACAGCAATCACACAATCCCCAAGAGAAGCATGAAACCCACAAAACCCAGACACATCCTACCCTGGAACTTTCAACTATTAGATAGATAGTCCTACCCCCTGCAGGTTTCCAGGCCTGGGGTAGGCCCAGGTTCCTGTCCTTGCCAGAGGAAAAATGCTCTGGGCAGTGACTTCATCTAAGCCTTGGGGTGTCAGGATCAGGTAAGATGACATACGGGAACATGCTTTCTCAAGCCAGTTTTCATATTTTTAGTAACTGGGTAATTAAAATTTCAGCCTTATAAAGGAAGAAACTGAACAAGGAGAATATCAATTTCCTTACCAGGGGTTTCAAATCATTACATAGTAATAGCTCTGAGTTAAATTAGGTATTTCATTGTGCATGGCAATTTTAAACACCATTTCCAGTGATGAATAAAATGATGACAATCTATACATTTCAACTTCTCCTGCTTCTCCTTTCTTTTTCTTCCCACACATCTGGTAGCTCTGGGGCCAAGTGTTCAAATAACCCAGAGGTTCTGAGACACAGGCTTTGAACCTTTGGACAAAAGGACACTGCTCTGGTCAGGCTGGAGATACTGAGGAGTCAGAAGTACCCAGTGGTGGCAGGTATGACAGACGCTCATGGGGAAGTTATGTCACCCTCAGAACTCACGGGTTTCTAGAAATTACCAGACTCAGAAGTACCACATGAGCTCTCAGTACCACATGATAGTCTATAATCATTAGCATTAAAAGGTCCCAAAGTACCAAAATGATGACGTGGAGGCCCCCAAGATAACCTCTTCTAGTTATAGTGATTTAATCCATTACATTAAACTAGTGCAAGAATGATCCTGCCATGTTAAAGGGCTCTCTGTTGGAACACTAGTTGAAACCAGGCAGCACTTAAGAGTTTGTTTGCTACCAGAATATAATGCTGACAAGTGCTGCATGCCAGTGTGGACTCTATGCCTCATCTGGCTGCCCATCATTATTTCTGAGAACAGTATTATCAGCTCTACTTTATAAAACAGACAGCAAGGATCAGAGAAGCTAAGAGCTTGCTTGATGTCATACATACAGGACTTTGATCATCTCTTTTTGAGTCTGTCTGTATATCTGAGGAATATGGTCAACCCACTGCACCATACCACCTTTCAAAGAAGCCCATCACCTTTGAGTTGCTTGGTCAAGTTGGGAATGCTCCTCTAGATTACTCATCACTGGTCATTAGCTTCCCACTGTCCTTGGCATTAGCACATGACAGTGATGTAGACCACTGGTTGCTGTTACCTAAATAATTTCTAATAACTTAACCTGCCCTTGTAACATTTTATTGTTTCCTCTCTCAGCCTGGGCTGGCGGTGCGGGGGGCTGAGGAACTGCAGGGAGAACTTGAAGCATTTCAGGCTCCTCTTTTCTCCCCTGTGCTCTGCACTACTTTGGTCACTTTGATCTCTGTGAGGCTATCCTCCCTCAGACATGGAGAAGGCAGGGTGCCAAGCAGTACAGTCTTAAATTCCTTCGCAAGCAAATAAACAAAAATGCCCTTGAAAACCCTGCGCTGCAAACTCTCATCTCTGAAGCTTCCTTTACAGATTTTTCCAGAGCAACTTCTTTTCAAACATTTGTAATACTTTGAAATAACTATAGCAATCTTCACCTCAAACTATACCATCTGGCTTCTCAACAAATAATAATTGCTCTGAGTCAGACTGATCTATATAAATAAATAAACAGAAGAAGCCAGCTCCTCACCAAAGTTTATACGCATGTGCACGTCACTGGAGAGCTGTTCAAAGGCAAGCGTCTGCAGTGTGTGGAGTAGCGGAGCCAGTGCTTCACAGTGCTGCTTCAAACAGCAAACAGTTGTATACTGCTCTCCTGTGTGGACACCTCTGTGCTCAGAGGGTGTCCTATGCAACTATCCTTGTTTGGAGGTGTGGCAGGCTCAAGCCAAGCCAGGCTCAAGCATGGTATAGTACAGGCCAGCTTCTTCCCCCAGCAGGTCCTGGGATAGTCCCTGTCAAAGCCACACAATGGCTCTGGAAGTGGGGTCCTGACCCAGTGCCCCACAGATGTACTACAGAGGCATACCTATCCTATCCTCTCTAACCCACAGCTTTGCCTACAGAAAGGAGGTGAATTCATGGCCACCCTCCGAGAAGAAAGAGCTGCCAATCCTGGGAAGAGCCTGACCTCAACCTGCAGAGGTAGAGTGCAGAGGGAAGTGCCCAGCCCCTTACCAAGTAGGCTGATTCCCAGCCGGGATAGGCCCTGTCGCAACCCCTCGCCCAGACTTTCTGGGAGCTGTCGCCGCCACTCTTCCTGCCGGTGGAAGTGCTCCTCATCCAGTGAGAGTCGGTCCATGTTTCGGGCCAGGCTGGTGGCCAGGTTGGTGATGGAGGTCAGGGTACCTGAGGGCACAAGAGATGGGTTTGGCTTCCTTGTCATATGTCTAGTGGGCCCCGGGTGTGGTCCTTGAGGGCTAGGTAGGTGGGCTGAGGAGAAAGGCAGTGGCAGCACCTAGTCCCTCCTGGACATGCCCAGTGGGGAACAATGGTGCTCTGCTGCCGGGCCATTTGCAACAAGGGCTTCAAATGAGCTTCCTCGAGTATCCTGTCACTCTTTAAGGGACTTGAGTAGGAATCTCTAACCAGAGGCTGAAAAAAATGCAGTATCTTTCCAATCAATGTATTGTCAAACTTGGTTAGTTTTGAAGTCCACAATGAGACCCAGTTTTGAAGGCTATTAATTTGCCTGCTCTGATTTTAAAGGTAAAGGTTCTGTTGGATTATCGATGGATTGTAAAGCAAGCATTTCCACTTTAGGAATAAATTTTGTATCCTTATTATGACTTCATTCTTATTTTTTTGAGACATAATCTTGCTGTGTAGCCCAGGCTGGCTTTGAACTTACGATCTTGCCTCAAACTCCTGAGTGCTGGGATTATAGGTATGCACCACTACATACATCCAGCTCTGACTTCATTTTAAATGTTTTCAGCTGGTATTCTGAGGCAATAATTATTGCACCACTGAGACTTTTGATGTTCAGGATATTAATGAAAAAAAAGGTGAGGACAACAAAGAAAGAAAAGCTATGGTTTTTCTAAGAAAAATAACTTCAGCCACTTGCTGAAAGCAGGCCCAACACCTCTAAGTCAGCTCATTTGCTAATCAGATATTTGGAGAATAGCAGATATTGTTCCATAGCATCTTTACTAATGGTCTGAAAAGAACACACACACACACACACACACACACACACACACACACACACACACACACACACACACACTTCCAAACCAACACACCAAACAAGTTAGAGAACAAGTGTAAAAGACATTCAATGAGTCAGGATGCTAAAACTACCACTGAAATTCAATTTAGCAGGTGTTGGTTGTCGTATTTTAAGATAAAAACAAAAAGCACAGAGATTCCAGTGTCAGAAGCGAGAAAGCCGCCAGGGGCTCATCTGCGAGTCTGCAGCCCAGGCCCTGGCCTCCCGTGCTTTGGAGCAGGGGAGGGCCCTCCTCCTTGTCCCTGGAGTTTGTTTTTATTGCTCCTGCTGTTCCCTTGCCAGCCCCTTTTCTATGGATCATACATTCTCATATTTCTAGTTCAAGTTTTCTTTTAAGGCCTGCTAGAGACTCCCCCAATCTGTCCGCTTATAATGGAGTTTCGGGACTATCTACAGTACAATGCCTTTTATAGGGAAGAAGGCCTTTGCCTGTTTTCCCTGCCTCCTGCTGAGAAGAAAAGGGGACTCAGATGGCCCTTGTTAGTCCCTCAGTCCCTGCCAACCTGACCAAAACATCCAGCAAACACACAGGGATGAAACGAAAACATTCTTGTGGGAAGCAGCTTGGTCTTCCTGCCCTGTGGCCTACGTGAACCACCAGATGGCACTGTTTACGTGTCATGCTACAGCAAAACTGGCTGTTCACCTCCAAATCAGCATCCATGTCAAAATGTATCCACATCCTTCAGAAAGTTATGACAACTGTTTCTACGCTTAAAAAAAAATAGTGAGGCACCGAGTGTAGGATTTCTGATGTTTAGCAGAAATCTTGAGCACCTTTAATATTTCTGCATTTATCACACAGAGTAGTGGTTGGCCAATCCTTGTTTTTCCAATAGGAGGTTTAAGATCTTAAAGTTTCTGAAACATTTGCACACACTTCAGGCAAGCACCGATCTGTTTAAAACATAAGGCATATGTGAGCTATGTTCCAAGTCTGACTTTCGCTGCAAGCTACCAAGACAAACAAAGTTGGAGCAATGTAAATGTATTTAAACCTTTTAACATGTTCTTTATAAATGAGGAGGATAGGAAGGAACCGAAGGTAAGGCATTATTATCACAGGAACTAGCAGCTACCTTTAGAAATGTGCTTCACAAATGATGTTGTCCCTCTGGAAACTCCGCTCACAAAGGCTCCTGGGCCTCGAGTCAGCCCCTCATAGGGAAGCCTGAAGAAGTCCGAGATCCCATTTCCTATGCTTCTCACCAAGCTTGCTGGGCTGCCGAGGATTTCCAGAGACCCCACCACCCAGCCTGCAAAGCACCAAGGGGAAAGGGTTACTTTCAACGTTTGTGAAAATGTGGCACCTTCCCTGCAATCCATTTTTCACAGTAGAACTGAGAACGTAATAAGCTTTTTTGGAGCAAAGTATGGGAAATAACTCATTCACTGTGAATTCATAAATAGCGAACTTTCATACTTCATAAATCAAAGTGATCCTCTGGCGGCCTCACAAATGGCTTTAGTATGACTTCCTCGCCTGAGTTTCCTGAACTCCTATAAAGAGATGCGTGTGCAGGGGGCACACTCCCACCTGCCCAGGAAGGTGCTCTCAGGGTTGCAGGTGCTCGGGGCTGGGCAGGCTCTCCAGGCCCCATGGGCAGCCACGCAACAGGAGTAGGAGCAGCTGCCTGCCTGGTGGGGGAGGCCAATACTGAATGGGGTGTTGTGAAGGGGATGCAAACTTCCGACAAGGATGGAGGAGTTACTTCTAATCTTTCCCAATCCTACCAAGTTGAGTGCTTCCCTTTGGAACTGAGCTAGAGCCAGACAAATGTCTCCCCTTTAGCCCTAACTTCGGTTGTGTAAATATCAGTGACAGGGACATACTGATTAGGTTAGTGAGAGGGGAGTGTTCTGTGCCGCAGTCTCGGGAGGGTAGCTCTGGATCTGGTTTCCTATTTAAGCCGGAGCTTGCCAGGAGCTGGCCTTCTCAGCGGCCTGCACACTGTCTACTGCCTCTTGGTAATGGGGCAGTGATGCAGTCTGTAGTGGCTGCCCTTCAGGGCTGTGAGCTCAGAAGACTGCAGGGGCAGGCAAGGGCCAAAGTGAGGAGAGGAGGAATCTGAAGAGACAACTGCCTTCCCGGGGAAGGCTCTGGGGACAGTCTGGGGAGCCATGCCTCCCTCAGCAGCGCGGCCTGGGAGGACCAGCCTGTGACGGAGCCTGAGGCAAGGCACCAATCCATGCAGACCACGGAGGTGTGAGTGAGTGCACGAGGCAAGACAGGGTCATAGGGATTTCCATCAATGTGGGGCCTGTCTTTCCCCTGGAACATTAGAATGGTGACACCAGGATTGAAGTCAAAGGAGAGAGTAATTGATAAGACGAATATGCAAATGGAAGGTCTGTGGAGGTGGGGGCTTTAGTTCTCCCGCACCTGTGCCACAAAAATATCATCATTTCTCTTCAGCTATGCCCAGGTTAATTTACGGGGAAGGCTACCCTTGGCATGAGAGGCACAGGCGAATTCAACATGGTGTTACCATGTGCCCAGTCTCACAGTCAGGGAGCAAAGGAAGACATCAATCGCACATCTCCACTGATGAAACACAGGAGCTAGCTTTCCATTCCAGGTTTACCTCATTCCCAGACCCCCACCTCCCACAAGCCCAGGCTGCACGGAGCAAAAGATCAAGGAGGATGCCGTTAAAGGCTGTGAATATGCTCCCTTGGAGAATAAAGAAATAGCAGAAGAGCAGATTACTCTCAGCCTGGAATGGTCAAAAGTTTCCCTCCCCAGTCGGGTCTATAGCTATCGTAACTTCCTGTTTCTTCAAGGACTCAGTATTTGAAGATAGAAGATGGCTTCTGCCAAGCAGAGAGACCTCTCTGTGACAAGCCTATTCAGGTGAGTGAAGGAGGAGGGGGTGCAAAGGGAATGGTGGGGAGGACACTGGAGAAAGCTCCCGTCTCCTCATTCAGCCCCCACCCATTTTGACAGAAATTGCAGAAGAGAGGCCTTTGTAATTCTCAGACGCATGGGACTGGGATCCCCAAGGTTATACGACCCATGGAGGCCTGAAACCACTGCCTACAGCGAGGGCCCAGCTGTGGAGCAGATAAGGAGCGAGACAACATACTGAATGACACTTGAGTTAGCCAGAAAAGAACAGAAGTATCCAAGGATACTTACTCCTTGCTTACCAATTCTCCTCTAAAAACAGTCACCCCTCAGATCCTAAAATCCAAGGACACTCAACACCTTGTATAAAATGGTGCAGTACTTGCATATAACCTGTGCAAATCCTCTCCTATACTTTAAATCGTCTATAGATAACTTGTAACATCTAATACAATGTAAATTCTGTAATGTAAATTCTAAAAGATCTTAGGCAATAATGACAAGAAGAACAGTACAAATGCAATTCTTTTTTTGGAGATATTTTCAATGTGTAATTGCTTGGATATACATATGTGGAATTCAAAGACAGAAGGCCAGCTGCACATCTTTTGCTTAGCTGTTAGGAAATGTTGTTGATAAAGACAGTCTACCTGGCTTTGTAGCAAATTGAGACTTTGGAGGTAGATAGACAAGGACCTCAGGAAATTCTCAAGCTCACATTCTTTCCTTCAAGTAGGGTTACTCATTTCTAGTTACCATTTATTTATTTTTAAAACTTCTTTAAGTGACTCACTGCAGATTTCCCTAGAAATGAGGTCAGGGTGTTTTTCTGGTCATTAGAACCAGGAAACTTCTACTGTCCAATGGGTAAAAGCTGACCCAAGTGAGTGCTGGAAGCAGTGTGCTCTCAGGCCAGTTTTCTCCCACTCTGTGCTCCGTTGCTATTCTACCTGGGGTGTGGTAGCCTCCAGCTGCCTTTCCATTTTGAGCTTCTTCAAGCACTTCTTTTTTCAATCCATTTTAGACCAGAAGCTTTTAGGGACAGAGTTTTCCATAGGCTCTAAAAAAATTGGCCCTTTGTATTAAAATTCCTTGTCTTGGTATAGAGTGAACCTGGCACATTAAGAAGATTTTTAGGTGGATTATAAAAAATTCTAAACAGAATGTTTTTGTGAGAGCTCATTAAAAACACAACACAAAACAAAGAGATAGATCACTTTAGCGTACAGGCTGCAGGGGACATAGGTGGAGCCTCTTCTCTGGTGCATTTACCAGATGGACACTTCAAGTATCTCATGATCACCCAATGCCAATGTGAAGCTGCTTTCTTCCCTGGCCTCAGCTCAGAGCTGAGTAATGCACGTGGCTGTTTCTCGTGTTAAATGCACAACGGAGAGAATACGTTTTAGAATGGTTTGTAAACATTTCATTTGAAAAGCTGATTCTTTTTTATGACGTCTTAGCAAGAGGGAAATATTTTCTTTGCTGTTATGCAAACTATCAAAATAATAGGTTTGGTAGGGCCCTGTCTCTGATAATTGTCTTTTTTTTTTAATATCTGGTTAGCTCTGTTAATTTCTATGACAATTTTGTTGTGGAAGAGATGTAATCTTACCAGTATATTACAATTACTGGCATTTGACCAATGCTACAATCTGAATCTTCAACGGTAATGCATTTAGCAAGCACAAGGTCACAAAGAGCCTTCATTATTTTCAGAAAGCCAGACTTCTGCTCTCTTTACTGGAGGGGGCCTGACAAGGCCAAATTGGGATGCTGTTCTGGGCTTGAATCATTAGGACCATGAGGAGACGATCAAGCAAGCTGCCTGATTAACCTTGGCTCAGGAACATCTGCTTCAGTGCCGAGTACTGTATTCTGAGACCAAATGGTCCTCAAGATAATCTGCAGCACAATACTTCCCATATAAGATTCTGCACACATACCAAACACTCTTTGAAGGCTTTCCCAACTAAACCGAAAACAGAAGCTTTATCACTCCCTCTGGGCCCCTGAGGAAAGCACAACCCACCTAAAAGTACTAGTGCATACCACCTATTTGTTACCAGAAGGTGGTAAGGATGAAGGAGAGCATTCTTCCTACCTGGGCTCAGGTATGTGGAGTGGCTAAGACACCACTTTGCTCTGTGTACACTGACTCTGGAGAGGCAGAGCTTGTGCATCACATGCAGAGCACACAAGTGCTCAAATCTCTCAACGACAAGCATTTACTAGCAGCAATGAGGAACAGTGACCACCTAGAACTGGGCTCCTTTTGGTCCCAACAGCTGAAGGTGGGCTGATTTTCTGGCTGTGCTAGTATGTTGAGAAAGGGTCATATGCTGCAAGTTTCTAATTTTTTTTTTCTAAATTGAACTAAAATCTAAGTCATGCAACAGTGAAAAATATGGCAACTATTGTCAGAATATTTACTAAATGTAAAGTAAAATGCTGAGTACTTGACATAATTATATTTGCTCCTCCCCACAAGAAAACACTTTATAGATGAGGAAATGAAGATTTAAGGAGGTTTAACAACTTGCCCAAAGGGCTTAAACAAGTGGAGTCTAGACTTCTATCTAGTTTGGTTTCATTGCAAAACTCTACTTTTCAGCTATTGCTTTCCATAGTTTTGGCCCAGGCACTAACTTATCATAGACCTTTAGCTTTTCCTCACCTGCTCTGAACAGAGCCCCAGCAGCGTAGTGCATGGCCAGGGCGTGGACCAGCTGCCTTGCGGTGGTGAAGATGGGTCCTCTTTCAAACACTGAGAAGGAGAGAGGAGTGTGGTCGGAGGCTATGTACAGCTTGAGGGAAGCGTGGATGCTGACAAGCAGGTTCACTGGCTGGATGACCAGCTTCCGTAGCCTCACCGGGTTCACTAAGGCCCTGGCATGCTGTCTCACCTGTAGAGGCAGCACTTGTCTATCCCCAGAGAGCTGTGTGGCACGGCTAGCCAGTCTGCTGTGAGGAAGGTAAGTCTCAAACAAAGTTTTAATGTAGTACACAAAAGTGTCCTCCACATATAACCGGGCAGGCTTCAGTTCGAAACTGAACTCATGGACATCAAGCAGGAAGCTACTGCCATCAGTTACTGTGATGTGAAGTTTGATGAAGCAATTCTCCTTGTATTCTTCCAAATCCCTGCTGGAGACAAGGAGACTCTGCATTTTGGAACACTGAATAGGTTCTGTTTTCTCTCCTTGGCAGACCAAAACAGCGAAGTGGAAATTGGACTTGTTGTAAAGCTGGTTGTCCAGCTGCAGGTCCCCACAGAAGACTTCCACAGAGTAAAGCTGGAAGAGAGTGGCCGCAGGCTCTTCCCCAGAGAGGGCACTGGCTATAGGGGCCACGTGGAGAAAAACATTGTCTAGTGTGAGCCTCAGAAGTTCAGACGATGCTCTGGGGTGAGTGAGGTCATCAGATATTGCCAGGCTCAACTGAGTGACAAACATTTTAAAGGTAATCATCTTTTCCAGAGTTCTAGAGGAGAAAAGGAAACATTATTCTCCCCAATTTTCCTTCTTTTTAAAATAACAGTGTCTTATTAAACACCTCCTAATAGGACATCAGATTCTCATAAGAGACAAATAAGAACTCAACTGTCAGTACATTGTGTGTAGACAGAGCCAGCCACACTAGAAGAGTATTGGGAAATGCTCCCGATGGGACTATTACAAGTTCTTGTCATGTTTCTGTATGTGTTTCCCTTATCAACACCAGATTTTTACTCCAGAATCCCATTAGCTTTTGTCATGATGAGAACAAGACAAAAAGATGAATAAAATAACTAAGAACCTTAAATTGAAAAAGTGAGGCAAACAGAAGAAAGCTCAGCATTTGCAGCATGCTGCCTTCCCTGTGCCCCTAAGGTGTACCTCAGGATTCTGCACTCATTGCTCAAGGTCATCACTCCCGCAATGCATCCTGTTCTAGATTACTTTTCTTTTCCTTGCCAACAGCTCATAAACATGCTGTTATTTCTCTTCTCTTAGATAAACCCTTATGACTCCACTTCCTTCTCTACTTAGCACTCATTTCTCTGAAACCCTTTATAGAAAAATTCTGAAGTATTTGCTATACATTGTCTCCTATTCTTCTTCTCTGTTCTATGAGTGTGCTGCTAGCTGAATTATATATCATAGTTTGACAAAACAACTCTTTTCAAAGTCACCAGTGACTTCCATTTGGCCAAAGCAATGATGGACTTCATTTTATGCTTACTCAAATTACTCATGACATTTGACATTACTGGGAACTTTCTCTCCCATCACACACAATTTTTTAACTGTCTTTACTGAGATCTTCTCTCTGGTCACTCATGCTTAGTTGTCTACATGAATCCTTCCTTCTCTTCTAGCAGACCTCTTAAGTTAATGGTCTCTAGGACTCAAGCCATCGTCCCACTTTTCTTCCCCATCACCACTGATTCTTTGGGAATCTTAGCTAGTCTCATGTCTTGAAGTACCACTACTATGTGGATGCCTAGAATTCCAATCTGCCTGTCCATATAGTCACACTGAGAAGGCTAAATGATGTCTCCAACTCAGTTGGTCATGACATCTGTGTATTCAAATCTTGTTCTTACACCCTCAAATCTCACGCAGCCTTTTCTATTCAGTTAATGGTATTCATAACCTACCAACTGATCACACCAATTTTTTTTCAAATCACTCTTGATGTCTCTATTTTTAAATCCATATCTAACATATAAGGGACATCTCACTGGCTTTTCCTGAAAAATATATCCCCAAATCTTCCCACCCACTTCCACTAATATTACTGTGGTCTAAGCCACCAGTATCTCTTGGATGATTACATATAACAGCCTTCAAACTGTAAGAGTGTCCTGATTGGTTGGATTTTCATTTCTCTAGAGCCTGCTTCAACTGAACAGCCACTTATCTAAAAATTGAAGCCACAAGTTCTCTATTCCAAATGTTCTAATGACGTCCTCATTTCACTTAGAATTAAAAAGCAGGGGCTGGGAAGGTGGCTCAGTGGTAGAGTGCTTGCCTTGTGTGCATGAGGCCCTGGATTCAATTCCTCAGTACCACATAAACAGAAAAAAATTTCAGAAGTGGCACTATGGCTTAAGTGCTAGAGCGCCTGCCTTGAGCTGAAGAGCTGAGGGACAGCGCCCAGGCCCAGAGTTCAGGCCCCATGACCACCACCACCACCACCACCAACAACAACAACAACAAAGGCAGCTCTTAACAATGGCCTATGGGCCCCCTTCTAGCCCTGAGCTCCATGGCTTTATGCATTACTACTTTTACCTCCCCCACTCTGCTGGCCTCTGGCCTGCCCTCCATGATGCCAGGGCACAGGTGCATGATGTGCCCTGGTCTAGCAAACATGTCTTTCAGAAAACCACATTAATAACCACTTTCCTTTTCAAGACTATGCTCACATGCCAGATTTGTGGATTGGCTTTTTTCTTTTTTTTTGCTGGTCCTGGGCCTTGAACTCAGGGCCTGGGCTCTGTCCTTGAGCCTCCTGTGCTCAATGCTAGTGCTCTAGTGCTTGAGCCACATTGCCAGTTCTGGCTTTTTCTGCTTATGTGGTACTAAGGAATCGAATCCAGGGCTTCATGCATGCTAGGCAAGCGCTCTACCACTAAGCCACATTCCCAGCCTTGGATTGGTTTTCTATAAGAACTGCTTTAAAAGTCCATTCTCCCTTTTCCCAGGTCCTGTCACTTATGGCTGCTCTAACTGGGTTGTTTTATACCTGTAGCATGCTGGCCATGTACCATATCATAAAATATCCCTTTAGTTATGTTTCTTTTCTCCCCATTTCTTCCTAATCTGATAATGTCCATGAGAATGTACTCTCAAGGGCAAAAGGTTTATTGTCTTTTACTCACTGATGCAACTATGTCCTCAGAAAAGCACCTGGAATATAGTAAGCACTGAAACTATTTGTTGGATAAATGAATCAAACAAGTGCAAGTTGTAGATATTTATACTGTCTTATTTCCTTTGTGGCTTGTCATGAACATTTATACCCTATGAGGAATGTTTCTAAAACTGTTGTATGGGCTTGAAGTTTATACAATTTAAATTTTAGCCTCCGATTCTGTCACACTATTAATGTTCTACATATTTTTGAGCAAAAATAAAAAATTCTATCAAATGTGAGTGAAAAAGCAGGCCCAAATTAATGAGTTCTTTAAAAATGCTATTAAGGAATTAAAATATAGAAATTATTAACTAAGCACTTATGACGCTAAATCTACCATTTATTAGCAGTCATGATTATTTCTTTTCACTTTTTTTCCTTTGGTGGTACTTTGGGGTTGAACTCAGGGCCTTATGTTTGCTAAGAAGGTGTCCTACCACTTGAACTACTTGCCAGCCTTTCTGTTTTGGCTCTTTTTGAGAGGGAGTCTCATTTTATGCTCAGGACAACCAAGACTACAATCCAATTATTTGTATTTGTGATTATTCTCATAATTGAGTGTGCACCACTGTACCCAGCCATTGGCTGTGAAGGAGTATCCCAAACATGTTTTTGCCTGGGCTGGACTTGAATGGTAATCTTCTAATCTCCACCTCCCAAGTAGTTAGTATTATAGGCTTAAGCCACCATACCCTAGCTTTCTTCAACCACCTCTCCTCCTAATATCGAAGTTTGAATTCATAGCCTTGTGCTTCTTACGCAAGTGTTCTGTCACTTATTTGAGTCATGACCACATTATCTTTTGCTTTACTTATTTTTCAGGTAGGGTTCAGGATATTGTAAACTTTCGCCTGAGCTGGACTTGGGCGATATCTTACTATTTCTCCCTCTAGGAGCTGTAATTCTAGCTAACATACTCCTACCCTCCCCTCTCAGGAGACTGAGATCTGGAGGATTATGGTTCAAAGCCAGCCTGTGTAGAAAATTTCACTAGACTCCTTCTTTAGAATAATCAGCAAAAAAAAAGAGCTGGAGGTATGGCTTAAGTAGTAGAACACCAGTTTAGGAAACATGGAAATATGATGTTTCAAGCTCAAACTTCAGTATAGCCAAAAGAACATGACACAACCATATGTGTGTGTATATATACTGTCAATATGTACAGGTGATGTATAACTATTACATATATTTAATGCTGTATCTATAGTCTGCTTGCTATACTTTCTATCATAGAAATTTTTCTGTTATGTCAAAATCCTATTTTTGCAAAATTATTTCTGATTCTACTGACAATAGGCATTTTGGTACAACAATATTTTGCTATTATAATTAGCAATGTTAGAAACATCCCTTTGTACATATCTATGTCCATTTCCTTACTCTTTTTTAACTCTTTAAATCTTTAAAAGTGGAATTTCTAAGCCAAAGAGATTTCAAAGCTCTTAAAACATACTGATAAAGTACGTTTAAGAAAATGATACCAGGGGCTGGGAAGGTGGCTCAATGGTAGAGCGCTCGCCTTGCATGCATGAAGCCCTGGGTTCGATTCCTCAGCACCACATAAGCAAAAAGAAAGCCGGAAGTAGAGCTGTGGCTCGAGTGGTAGAGCGCTAGCCTTGAGCTGAAGAGCTGAGGGACAGCGCCCAGGCCCAGAGTTCAGGTCCCACGACCGGACCAAAAAAAGAAAAAAAAAAAGAAAATGATACCAATTTATACTTCTATCAGGACCCCTTTGAACAAGTATTTCAAATATATAAAAAGATTTTTTTTAAAAAAAGAAACAAAGGAGGAGGCTACAATGCTTGATAAGAAATGTATGGTAATTGTAACTCCTCTGTATAGTATTTTCACAATAAAAAAAAAAGAAACATTGTTTTAGGCAAAAAAATAATTGTATAACTTAAGATGTATGTCTTAGTTTGTAAATCAGGTTGTCAAACTTACAACAGAAGAATGAAAAGACTGAAAAAAGATAATATATTGTATGATTTAATGCTAGTAACTAGATCTTACATATCATACATAATTAACTAGAATTGTCAGGGGTATACAGAGGTAACAAAGAATGACAAATGATAGGCTACATATTTATAATGGTAAATCTTAACTATATTACTGGAAAAATAATTAGATATACCTGTTGCTATTGGTTAAAATAAATCCTGCTTTTCCTTCAGGGACCATAGTGATGAAGATTGTGCCACACTGATGCACAATGTCCACGTACACATAGCCAAAACCAGTGAGGAACACAACCTGCAATGCAATATTCACAATCTCATTACACAGCACTAAGAATGCTACTGAAATGGCCTATTTTGAATGTCTGAGTTCTGATTAATTACCAAAAACACTTTCTGCTTATATTTCTTTATATCCATGTGTACTGGCTATTCAGTTGACTTGAAATGAAAAAAAAAAAATCAAACCCAGATTTTTCAATATCCAACTGTACCATTGTTCACAGAAGAGAAATGATGGATGATGGGGCATGAGTATCTTCATTCTCTGCTTCTTTAGAACTGACAAATACCTCTGTGTGTGCTGGAGGCCAGCCTTGGGCCAGCTTTATGTGTACATATGAATCTCCATGGGGGGAAAACACCCTAAAACTGAGGACTTGAACAGCAATGTGTGAAACATTTTCAGACTGTTGAGAGCTGACTTACTACTACAAGGGTAGCTTCACATGCTGGGCACAACCCCGCCTCCCCCAAAGCCCATCCCTCACAAACTCATAAGAATTTTAGGTAAATTAATTTGCTTAGGGTCAAAATTGATTTTTATACCATAAGAAGATGAACTAAGACTAAAAACTAAAAACTGTTCAATGTCAGAATGCAGGTGCCAGGGCAGCAGAACAGACGTCCTGTCAACTTTAAATAACAATGCTGCTTACATGAATAACTATTTGAAAACAGAACAGAACTCTGTGGAAAAACAACCCCAAGAACATCATGTTCACAGCCAGGATTACCTGAAGGCAGGGGCAAGAACTTCCTGTGCTTGGGAATGTTCATTCTAATGATCTGCAAACCATTTTACTCCAAATCTGGACCTCTATTATTAGGACAGGAGATAATAGAAAAATCCCTGACAATTCTTGAAGGAAGAAACAAAGCTAGGTGCTTACTTGCCAAGTGATGAATGCATTCTAAATTTGACTAAATGAAGAACAGGAGAGGACCACAGACTCATGTTGAGAAATAACCCAAAGGTTACTGGGCTTCTTTCTTTTGTAGTGGTTTCTCTCTTAGAAACTCTGACCATATTCAGCCAGGCCACCTAGTTGCCATCTTTGCCTCCTTCTCTCGTAAGCTTATCTGCGATTCATCTTCTAGTTCTGCTCAGTTATTGCTCTAGCCTAGGCCCTTGCCTTACCATTTCCCATTCCCTGTGCCTAAAATATATTGTATTCCAACAAATCCTTACTGGAAGATGGGATTATTCACTTGGCACAAACCTTTTTAAGGTTTAATTGTCTAGGGGGAGTTTTGAAAGAAGGCAAATTAATCTAAACTTCAAATCCATACCTGCTAGTCAAAAACCTAGAGTATGGAGAGACTGCTGGGTGTATCTTTTGTCCCTGTTGACAATGAAAGAAATGGTCTTAAATCCTGGCCCATCTCCTTGTTGTCTTTCACATGTTAGAATAAAAGCTCACAACTCCAAGCCTTTGTATATGCAGCTATAAACCTAAAGGAAATCCTTGTTCGGGACTGATGGTTGGATCATTCAATCAGTTTACCCATTTTCTGATACATACTTACAGGGTACCCACAAAAAAACTGGTTATCGGAGTAGATAAAAAGATATGCACCAGTTGTTCACAGCTCAAGTGGCAACAAGGCAAACTGCACAAATACTGAGACAAAACTAACATTCCAGAGCAGAGGTATATACAACACTTCTCTTCTGTAGTAACCACCCTCATTTCTCTGTGAGCTCCACCAAAGCAAAGGCATTTTGTCTATTTTCTTCAGTAACTACACCGAGGGCCTGGTCCTCAGGGAAGATCAGTAGGTGACTGGAATAGCCAACTTTGAACAGTGGCTGCTGTGGTGGTATCTATCTCCCCTCTCCCACAGGATTAGACTGCAGCCATGTGACTACTTTTTGCCAATGGGCTATGGGCATAATTGACACGTGATACTTTTGAGTTACAGTATAGAAGAGTCATCTTTTTGTTCCCTGCTGCAGAGAATAGGTAAGGGCTTTCTGTTTCAGATCAGACATGGGCTAAAGAACATATTACTTCTAATAAATGAGTTGAGAGGCTGTGACAGAGTCTGTACTGGTTGAAAAGCCCCAAAATACATTTTGGACTGTAAAGGAAGCTGCTGCTTTCTATTTTTTGTACCAATGGTAGATGAGTGAAATACATCAATGAGTTTTTGCATCTGAGTATACATGTTCTGTGTAGCTCCTTCCTAAGTGGACATAAGAGCTTGGCTATATGACTTTCTTTAGATAACAGGGCATCAGCAAAACAACCAAAAAAACCAAACCCCAAATAACTTGCTTATGGGGGTGAATAAACCTGGTCTGGCCTGCTCAAGCAGGAAAGACCACATGGTGAGAGAGTTGTCCAGAATTCCTAGCTGAATCCATTCATCAGCCAACTCCTGCCAAATGCAGTATGTATGTAGTCCAAGATTCACCCTGCAGAAAATTCACTCACAACTTCTTAGAAGCATAAAACATTTTTTTTTTTTTTTGTCAGTCATGGGGCTTGAACTCTGGGCCTGGTCACTGTCTCTCAGCTCTTCAGCTCAAAGCTAGCACTCTACTGCTTGAGCTACAACACCACTTCCGGTTTTCTGGTTTATTGGAGATAAGAGCCTCACGGTCTTTCCTGCCTGGGCTGGCTTTGAACTGCAATCCTCAGATCTCAGCCTCCTGAGTATCTAGGATTACAGGGGTAAGCCACCGGCGCCCGGCCTCATAAAACACTCTTAATCATTATTTTAAGTCTCTGGGTTTGGGAGTGGTTGGTTACAATGGAGCAGATTCAAGATGGAGCACATAGCACAAAAACTGAACCTGGGATAATTATGATGATGATGATAGGCAGCACAACCTAGTTTAACTTTCTAAGACTGACCGAAATCATCATATTCATTATTAAAACGTTTAAATGTTAAAGTGCCTAAGAATGTAACTCATATCAAGGGTATACTTTTCCCACAGAAGCTCTCTTAAATCCAGAAAGAGGTAAAAGGAAGCAAGACAACAAAGGAATGCTTCAGTAAGGACCAGGAATGCCAGTGCTGAGGGTTCACACACGTAATCCTGCTACTCAGGATTACAGTATCTGGACAGAGGTTTGAAGCCAGCCCATGCAGAAAAGTTCACCAAATCTCTTCTTAACTGATAACTAGGTACAGGTGGTTCATGCCTCTCATCATAAGCTCTAGGGAGAGTGTAGGCTAGATTCCAGCTCAATGGAAAAGCTAAGTGTAGTGGTAAGTGCCTGTTAGCTAGAACAGGAAGCCTAATGTAGGTGGATCCAGGTCTATGGGCAGGAAGTAAGATTATATATAAAAAACAACCAGTACAAAAAAGGGCTGGAGGTATGGCTCACAGGGTACAGCACATGTTTAGCAAGTATGTAGCCTGACCTCAAATCTTAGTACTATCAAAGGAAAAAAATCTCCCAGACTATCCAGCTGGAAAAAAAAAAAAAAGGTAAGAACACTCCTAAGAGTAGAAACAGGCTTCACTTCTTCTACATTCATAAGAGTAGTATACAGAAAAGACTATCAAGTAGATAAGCTATGATATGAAAGAATTTCAGGCATTGTCTTTGAAGGCTGGGAAGAAGATGTTTACACCTGTGCTAAGGGACTAATCCCTAACCTATAAAGGGAAGACAAAGGTAAGATGTAGCCTGGTCCCAGAGCTGATCTGCTTTAGGCATTCTAGTGGACTAGAGAGCTGCCTCTAGACTAATAATAATAAAAGTAATAATAAAACATGTTTTATTAGCTACTTTGGTAGTTGTTGTGGACACAGACTAGAGTGGACAGGTTAACTATAGAGAGATCTTTTAAGAGGCTACTGCTAAAATCTTGGATTGAGATAACGAACCAAAGGCTTGAAGACAACTCTGGTTATGGAGCGAAGGGACAGATTCCAGGCATTTATGAGGTATTTCTGAGAGAACACAGATTTACTGGGTGTCCGGGGCAAGAGAGAACAGGAAGGTACTTGGATGCAGCAGAAAGCTTGTAAGCCAGACAATTCTGGGTGTGAATCCCAGGCCCACTAGTCCTGTGCAAGATCACCTCTCTGAGCTTCAGGTAGCATCTTCCATTAAGGGATGTGACAGACCAATGAAAATAGCTTTAGAGCACTTGAAATAAAACAGGCATTCAGTACAAATTTACAGTAGTATTATTTAAGCCTGTTTTCTAGGGAAATTATGACATTAACTGAAACAGATTCTGGGAAAAGCTGGTTTGGGGTCTGAAAAATGATCATCGTGATTTTAGAGACACACTGAGTTTGAAATACCCATAGATCTGAGATATTTGGTGAGTAGCAGGAAACAGAGATTTAGAGCTCAGAAGGGTCAGAACCAGAGATATCTGGTAGTAATTGGGTGATAGACAGTACCTACAGTTATCAGATGAATTAGATATTCCAGAAAGAAAAAGGAGATAAATTTCTAAGGTGATTGAAGTAGAAAAGGTTGAAAACAGATGAAAAGCAAACAGTAGATATTCTGGATGTAATTTTTCCCTGTATATGATTCTGAAAGACATTTCAGAGAAATTTCCTACTCCTGAGTGTCTGTGGAAACAGTTGTGATTCAGCCAGAACCAATAGTAAACGCATAGGAGATTCTAGACCAGAGTACTTGCTGATGTGCAGAAGTAGGTGCCAATCTGTTGTTAATCTGTGCTGGCCCTAACGTGGGTGTGGAGGAAGCTGAGAAAAATAAGCAAGAAGCCAAAACACCTGAACCAGTTATTTTTTTAGATATTCACTTAGATTACAAACTTTTCTTCTATGTAAGAATTCCTGGATGGCAGCTAGAGGTATCTGAAATCCCTAGCTGTTGCTCCAACCATTAGTGTAGAGGGTAGTCTGGGACCTGCACCAAATGGACAGATCAGACATCCAAATTCTGGTTCATCAAGGCTTGAAGTGTTTCATGACAGTTTTGTAGATGTGAAATATGCACAGTATTGTTTAAAAGTGCCTTTCTACACATTTTCTCCTGTATTTAGATGACAGTAGAGTTTGGTGTG